CCACTGGTCTCTGCTAGTCCCTTCAGGGAAAGTATGGGGAAACTGAGGCCCAGGAAGGGGTGGAAGTTGCTCAAGATGACAGAGCCGACGATGGCAGAGCTAGGACCGAGACTTGGGGCTCCCAGCTCCCAGGTGCCCTGTGCCTTTCCACTCCATTGGGCAGCCTCTGCTAAGCAAGGGATGACATGAATGCTTGCCCTTCCAATGAGAGCAGAGGGCTCAACCTCGGCTGCACACTCATCCCCGTGGAACTTGAAAAAACAGGCATGCTGGGGCCCCACAACAGGTCAACTGAATCAGACTCTCCGGAGGTGGGGCCCAGGCATCAATGCATTTTTGAAAAATGCCCAGGGTTGAAAATCTCAGAACTGGAGAAAAGAGGAGGCTGATGGCTTCTTGTCAGATGTAGTCCCTTAAGATACATCTGCTAAAGAAGGGCTTCTCATCAAAGGAAGCCAGTGGCAGCTCCCCTCACCCACCAAGGCCTGCCCAATGTGTCTTCATGGTGGGACTTCCTGTCTTTCACCTTTGCCAAGTGCTGCTACTTGGGGCCATTCCAAGGTAGGTGAGATGTGCACTCCCAAGGTCAAGGTTGGCGCCTCTTGGAGGCATCTGTGCTGCCCTCAGAAAGGGGTTCAGGAAGACTCAGCCACCCTCAAGACTGCTGTTTGTGTTGGCTGCCTTGCAGCCAAACGTCAGGCCCCTCCCACTTCTGGGCAGAAAGCCACCTTCTAGGGGATCTCCTGGAAGTGGGCCCACATAGCTGCTCATCTGGGAACACCTGGAGCATCAAGGTGCCTTAGAAGCCAGTCTCCAGCACCCCCACCAGGCCCCACAATCCAGATGAGTAGGCACCTTCTGGAACTCAGTTTCCCCTTCACAAATAGTCAGGGAACGTTTATTTAAATTGGAAGTTCTGGTTCCTAGTTTTAGCTCTGTCCCTAACCTGTTGTGTTTCCCTGGGCAAATCACTTTATGCTCCGGACCTCCGTTTGCCCATCTAGATAATAAAGGAGGTGGGCATGTCCCTGGGTGGTGTAAACGGTTAACACTCTCAGCTGTTAAAAAGTTGGAGGTTCGAGCCCACCTAGAGGTACCTTGGAAGAAAGGCCTGGTAGTCTACTTCCAAAAAATCAGCCATTGAATACCCTACTTAGAATACAGTGTAGAATACAGTTCTACCCTGACAAGGGGTCAGCATGAGTCAGAATTGACTTGATGGCAACTAGTTAACTGCTTTTTGGTTATGACTAATGTTGTTATTCGAGAACTCACAGATGCCACCACTGAATCCCCCTAGGGACTGCTCTCCAAGTCTATCTCGTGACAAATCCCAAAGATGACTGGCTCCAACGGCCCATTAGCCATACGAGCTGGGGGCAGCCACAGCCTGACGGACTCCAAGAAATATTTCCACATGGTAGGGGGACATCCTGTGCACTTGGTTCCCATCCATTTACCATTCTTACCCTTTGGCTGATGACTTTAGCTCTGGGGGTGAACTCCACCACCAGAAGTCATCCTGGGGTTTTGATTTTGCTGGTTAGAACCAAATCAGCTTTCCTCCCACTCCGAGACTTTGCACTAAAGTTTGAAAACCACTCTTCAGTGCGGATGTTTGTGCATCAGGAAAGAGCTAGTGGGAGGGAGGAAACCACTAGACTTTGGAGCTTGGTGAGATCTGGGTTCAAGTCCCAGTTTTTGCCTTGTAGGAGGGAACTCGGCAGGCCACCATGTCTCTGAGCCTCTATTTTTGCATCTGTAAAATGGAGTCTATAATGTCTACCTCTGTTTGCAGTGAGGAGTAAATGAGACACAGATACCCAGTGCCTAGCTCAGTGTTCATGTGCATTATGCTTCCTTCCCTTTTCCCCACCCTAAGACTCCCTGCTCAGGAAATAAAAAACTCTTTTCCCAAAGTCTGGGCCATTTCCAACGCATCCAAAGGCAGGAAGACAGGGTTTAATCCACTACCACAGATAGAGAGGCCCAACGGTCTTGCCTGTGCTCATCCTTAAAGGCTCTAATCAGTGCCTCTCCTCCAGGAAGCCTGCCCTGACTGCTCAACCTACACTCATTTCTCTTTTCCACTCCTTCTCGCAGTATGGCTCAGAGGTTGCTCTCCAGCCATCTGGTGTGCAATAGGTTTGGGGCTGCTTGAAGGTGTCCACAGGCCCAGGATTGAGCCTTCAAATGATGATGGTGATGTTAGTAATGCTGACAATTACCAGAATTGGATGTTTGCCACAAACCAGGCAGTGGCTACATGCTTTACACACATAATCTCATTTAATCTTCCCCACAGCCCTCTGAAGTAAAGGCCATACTACTTGGGTTACATTCTGGCTCTGCCACTCACTGGCTGTGTGATTTTGGGCAAATTACTTAATCTCTCTGTGCCTTAGTTTTCTCATCTGTAAAATGGGGATGATACAGTACTCATCACACACAATCACGGTGAGAATTAATTAACACATGTAAAGTGCTGAGGACGGTGACTGGTATGCAGCAGGCTCTAATTATCATTGCTGAAGATGAAGAAACAGAGGCTCAGAGAGGTGAAGTGACTTTCCCAAGACCAGAGAGCCAGGAAAGTAGCAGAGTCAGAACTTAGCCAGCATGCCCACTGCCCTTTCTCTTGTTGGCCCCACAGTCTGAGCACACAGCTGTGCTACATCATGAGCCAGAGGAGATCTTAGAGACAGCCCAGTCCATGTCCCTTCCAAGACAGAGTGCTTTCTGCAGCATCCCCATGAGATGATGGCTCTGCCTCTTGCTAGAACTGCAGAGAGCAGGATTCTCAGGGGGCAGGGACCATGCCTGCTGGTTCACCATTACGTCCCTGTGCTTGACACACACTAGGTCCAGAAGAAATACTTGATGAATGTGTGAATGAACAAAATAGGAGCGCTCCATCACCCTCCCCACCCTTCCCAGCGTTGTCTGGTCAGGGAGGTCCAAGAATCCCTTGTTTGAAGATGCTGGCGCCTCCAACCCCCATCAAGTGGCTGGCCCACCACCAGCCCCTCTGTGAATCTCCAGTGTGGCCCACTCCATTCACATCACCCAGAGATACTGCCTCTGCCTCTCGTTGCCCTAGTCCCTCCTCCATCCTCCAAGGAAGCTCTGCAGGGGTGGGGCTGGCCCCAGCTTCCTGGGGCAGGTCAAACTGGAGACACATCTGCCTGAGGGACACGAGGCAGCCAGGGCAGGTGAGTCACTCCCACGAGCACGCAGTCCTGGAGGAGGTGGCGGCACCAGGTGGCACAGGTACCCCTCCTCCCTCATCACCCCTCCTGGCACAGCCTCTGTGGCTGCTCCCTCCTTCAAGAGCCCCAAATCCCCTTTCCACTCTCACTGCCCACCCACCCTCAACCAGGCTTTAGCTCCTGCTACCTAGCTGAGTTGGGCCTGCTCCAGACTTGGTTCCTTCCCATGACCAGTTCCTCACTCCTTCCCATCCAATGTCCAAGGGACCAACCCCATCTATGCTTCTGACTGAGTTCCCTCCAATTTTTAAAGTCTTGGTCTGAGATAGTGGCTCTCAACTGGGGACAATTTTGCCTCCCAGGGTTCATTTGGCAATGTCTAGAGACATTTTGGGGGGCACGCTACCAATATCTAGTAGGTAGAGACCAGGGATGCTGCTAAACATCCTACAATGCACAGGACAGCCCCAGCAACAAAGAATCATCATGTTAACAGTGCTGTGGTTGAGAAACCCCAGTCTAGGGGTAGGGGTTGGAGACCTGAGAAGTTCTGCCTCTTCCCCTCCCAGGATCCTGATTACCTGTCTCCTCAGCTCAGCCTCGGAGCTGGGAGCCCCAGAGACTCCTCAAAAGCCTAAGAAGTCAGCTTCCTGGTGATGCCCAGAGCCCTGCTCCTGAAATGCTACCCACACTCCCTTTTCTTCCCGAGAGAGAGAAGATGGTGTCTCACTTCCAACCACTGTCCTTAAAGAATGGCCATGGCACACATTAGGGGCATAATGCATGGGCATTGAATGGTCGAAGGAAACCAGAGTAGAAATCTTTCCTCAGCCAATGGCAGAGCAGCTAAAGGCATAGACTCTTGAGTAGGATGTGTGTGGGTTGAAATCCTGGCTTTGCTACTTAGTAACTGTGTGACTTTGAGGAAATGACTTGCCCTTTCTGTGCCTCATTATCTCATCTGTCAATAACCAGTTGCCTGTCAAGCGACCCAATATGTGTCAGGGTAGAACTGTGCTACGGAGGGTTTTCAATGACTGATTTTCCCAAAGTAGATCATCAGACCTTTCTGCCAAGACGCCTCTGGGCGGACTGGAACCTGCAACCTATTGGTTAGCCGCCAAGCACTTAACCAATTGAGAACCCAGGGACTCCATCTATCAAATGAGACAGTACTAATAATAAACCCTAACTCCTAGGCTTGTTACCCACTGCCATCAAGTCGGTTCCGACTCATAGCGACCCTGTAGGGCAGAGTAGAACTGCCCCATAGGGTTTCCAAGGAGCGCCTGGTGGATTCAAACTGCCTACCTTTTGGTTAGCAGCCGTAGTTCTTAACCACTATGCCACCCGGGTTTCCCTAGGCTTGTTGGGAGGGTTAAATTCCTGAATGCTTGTCAGGCTCTTAGAATAGTGGCTGGCACGTAGGAAGTGCTTTATAAGTGATTTCTGCAAAAATTATCAGTGCTCTGTGTTCAGGCTCTGTAGGCTGGGAGTGTGTACCCCTCTTCCTATTCTTGTGTGCCCCAGCCAGACCCCCAGCCCAGCCTGCAGAATCCTCTGGACAGAGATAAATGCCCAGCCCCTGTGGCAGCAGCACCTTTCAAGCCATTGGACCAGAACTCAGTCACTACGAGCCTATTCCAACCCACCTTCAGCCTCCAACACCTCAAGTCCATTAGCTGGGGTCTTCCAGAAAAAAAGCTGAGAAAGGAAAGGATCAAAGCTTTCAGGATTGACTGCTGTTCTAAGGCCAAGACTCAGGGGAGAGCAGCCAAGCCAGGCTCTTACCCATAAACGTCCACGAGGATCTCCATACCAGCCACACACACGGCGCTGGTGGGATGCTCCAGGGATACACGCACGATTCTCTGCAGTGACATGCTGGCCTTGAACTGGGCTGTGGCCACCAAACCCAACACTGCCCCAGAGGCCCCTTGGGATGTGGTTTAAAAGACCCCGGCCCCGCCTCTCCAGCTCAGGGTGCTAGCTCACTGACTCCACTCTTGGAAGCCCAGCCCCTTTTCAGGGCCAAGAGCTCAGGATTGGCTGGAAGAAACCCAAAATCTGCATAAGAACTTATTGCCCCTACTCACCCCCACCCCCACCCCCACCCCCCACTCCTGGCACTCAGAGACTTAATTTCTCCCCAAAGGGAGCAAGTCCCCACAGGTATCTGGCCAGGGTGCCAGGGTGCCAAGGTGTGGGGGTTGGAGGGGCAGGGATGTGTGGTACGGATCAGAAGCTTTTCCTCACTTTGCACTTTCGCCCTCCTCACCCCTTTTTCCTTCAGTTTCAGAGACAATGTGGTTTAGTGGGGGGCTTCTCAACCCTGCAGGGGGAGCTGGTAGAAATGCAGATCCCCGGGCCCAGCCTCCAGTCTGATGCAGGAGGTCAGGGGTGCAGCCCGGCATCTGGATTTTTTACAAGCACTCTAATGCACTTTGAGAAGCACCAGCCTTTTGCTTGAAGCATGGATTTTAGAGGCAGGACTGGGTTCCGGCCCTGCCTCTGCCACTTCCTGGTGGGTGACCATGGGCAAGTCACATAAGTGCTCTGTGCCTCACTTTTCCCATCTGAGGGATGGTTGTTGAAAGGATTAAATGGGATAACGACAGCAGAGCGCTAATGAGAAGCCTGGTGTCCTCTCGTTATTGTTGTTGTCATTACTGTGATTAGGAGCTGAAAGCCTCTGGAAGGCGTTCATTGTTGAGGATGAAAACCCTCCCTGGCCAGGGGGAACCTAGAATGTCAGAGCAGGAAGGCTCACTGTCAGGTAGGGAAACTGAGGCCAGAGGGGGCATTAGGGTACTTGGAACAGCAGAAGGAAGGGCTCTGGGAAGAAGAGTCTTAGATTCTAGGCTCCACCATGTGGCCTTGGGGGTTCCAGCCTCTCTCGGGGCCTCTGTTTCCTCATTTGTTGAAAATGCAGATGTTCAACGTGCCCCACAGAGATAATTCCTGGACACACCCTTGGCCAGCTGAGGATCGGGAGGTGCTGAGTAGAGGTTTCCGCCCTTCTCCCTGGCGGTGCTGACAGTCTACGGCAGGATGCGGACCAGCACCCACTCCCTGGAGTCCCCAACCAGGGCCTTTGCACCAGTTCAATGACCTCAGCCAGGCCCCTAAACTCCTCCGTCCCCAGCGCTGGGCTGGGTGTTATTTCTCAAGGAGAATTGTTGGGCTGCTGGGTCGAATGACAGCCTCCGTTTTTCAGCTATAAAATGGCTTGGTGGCTGACTCAGCTCTGGCTAAGAGTTAGAGCTCGGAAGGAAATCCCGGACAGCTTCCCTAGCTTTCTCATGACACAGCCTGGGGAATAGATGCCGAAACTGGGGGCTCCCCCTTCCGGGCACTGGCCCACTGTGCTGGGGGCAGGGCCATCCTCCCACTCACAGCCTTGTATCTCCTTTACCTCCCATGCTGCTGCCTCTTTGCAATTAACACCAGCCCTTTTAGAAACAGGTCTGTGGTTCATTTAGACTAAATTTTCAAGGACTGATGGGCATCGAATTTTTGCTTCTTAATCCACAACAAAAATTAAAGCAAGGTGAGTGGGTGAGGGTCCAATGGTGCAATCTGAGGCAGCAACGAGTGTGTAACGTGAGAGGGGTGGTATGTTCAGACCCCTGAAATCAAACCACTGAGGCTGGGTAAGTTAGCAGGGTTAGATGAGGAGATAGAACCAACCCCGCCCAAGATATTAATCTCAACAGGGCAGTCTGGCCCCAGGGCAATGGGCACATGAACCCCGCCCCCCACATCCTGCCAGATCAGCCTGCCTGCCTGGCACTGGCCTTGGCACTGGAGGGCCGCCCATGGCCTGCAGAAGTTGGGCCATGGAGGTGGCGGCATTGCACAGTGGAACCCGAGGCAGAGCTCCATCACTTTCCTTCCCTTCTCCCCACAGCCTAACACACAGAAGCTAAGCAGGCAGCCACTTGAAGAAATGCATGCTGATATCTTTATTTATCAGAAAAGAGGTGACTGGCACCCGGAACATTCTCAGAGGGGACACCAGGCCTCCCCAACAGTCCCAGCAGCAACTGCAGAGCTTCCCACAATCAGTGCCACTCTGGAAGGCTCCTCCCCACCTTCCGCCATCTCTCCCCAATGCCCACCCCTCTCCCACCCACAGCCCTTGCCCTCAGGATTCCAACCCCAGCCTCACACCCTTGGCCCCAAAAGAGCTTCCTTCTCCTTGGCTCAGCCTGGACCGCATCATGATCATAAGCAGAAGGTGTACAGGATAGACAGGGGGCTTGCAAAGGGGGTTCCATGGAGCCCTCTGGAAGAGGAAGCTTTAGGTAACCCCTCCGGACTTAAGTCAGAGCAGTCCCATTTGTTCCAGTGTCTTCTGTCGAGCCTTTGTTTGCTAAGTTTTCCATGAGTTTGACAGCAGCTGGCTCAGTCTGAGGTCTTACCAGGGCCACACTAGCTGGGGCCACCAAAAACTCAGATAGGCAGAGGCCTAGGGGCTGACAGTCCAGTGACAGCTGGGGAGGAGGGCAGGCTGACCCCACAGCCCTCCAGGATTGTCTCAGGCCGGGGCCACCTCTCACCCTGCAGCCCAGCCAAGCCTACCTGCACAAGTCCCGGTGACCTCACCTGGGGTCACGCTATTAAACCCCCTCCATGCCAGCTCTGTCTTCCCTGCTGTGGGAGGGGACACTGGCCCGCCACGGGGATTTACTCACAGGTGAAACCCAAGCTACATGTAGGGTCCCTGGGGAGCTGCCTTCCCCTCCCACTGCCTGCACAAGAAGGGGAATAATTAAGGACTATTAGAGGAAATTAAACCCCACCTTCAGAGATCACCTAATGGCTCCCCCCACCCTCTTCTAACATCTGGGCCCCCACCCCCTGCTACAGCTGGAACAGCCAGCTCCCTTCAAATCCAGAGCCCAGGAGCCCCAGGACACAGAGGCCTCCTGGCCCCAAGTTCAATCACCTGGACTTCAGTCTTCTCTGCCATCCGGCCACATGACCTTATGACTGGTCTTCCTTTTTGTTTCCTCCAGGCCTCATGCTGGCCTCTCAGTATTTTTTAAAATTTTTTTATTGTACTTCAGGCTTACAGAACAAATAGTTTCTCATGAAACAGTAGTACACATATTGTTTTATGACATTGGTTAATAACCCCACAACATGTCAACCCTCTCCCTTCTTGAATTTTTTTTTTTTTTTGGTGAAAATATACATAGCCAAAGGTACACCATTTCAAAAATTTCTACATGCACAGTTCAGTGACATCGACTACGCTCTTCCA